TGATGATGATGATGATGATGATGATGACTTCTTGACATCACGCGAGCAGCCCCACTCAGAAAATGACAGTCGTCTAGTAGTACAATATATGGGCTTCGACGTACTATGAAAACTAGAGGCTTGTTGAAAGATTAAATTCTGTTCAAATTCAGAATGTGTTGCTCCCCCGATTTTCCCCATTTATCTTCTATTACCGTGCCACCTTCTTACAACTCAAGGCCTAGCAGTACTAACAAGAGATAAGTTTCAGGAAAAAGTCCAAGGCTTCGAAATAAAAACAGTGTCTCCTTCTGCATGAAATGTGTATCAATCCTTTTCTGGTTTACCAATGGAGTTTTCAGTAAAGCGAATTGTCTGTCCTTTCAAGGAGTGTTGCTGTGGTTGTACAATCAGTTTGATTTAAACGAGCGAACGCGTCTGGTGCAAAATATTAGTAAAAGATTAGCATGCTGGGAAAGGAGTAGTGTAAAAAGCAATTTTGCGTGCAAAAAGATGAGTGAAACGTGAATAAGAAAAGTCCGCCGTGTATGATAAAGAAAATACAACTGACGTTCTAATGAATTCGGAAAACAATAGAATCGGAATCTGGCAAGGAAACTGGATTTCTAGCGATGATCACATTTGGAATACAACACTGCTTCCGGGCGGAGACTTGAAGGATTGTACCGTCAGGCAGCGTGTTCTTCACGGCATATAATGACACGCCCTCGAGCAGACTCACTGGTTCCAGACTTCACGGACGTCCGATCACTTACCGAGACGCTTTTGTCAATCCGACGACCGGCCGGATAATAATCAAGCGCGGATTGCAAGCTTGGACTGGCATGCGGAGCGGTGTCATCCCTACGTATCGAGCTGAAATCAGGTATTGTTCCTTCTCTCGTCTCTACATGAAGAGCACTCGTTTGCATCGGTGGATCTCCGTAATAATAAGCGGTCAGGCGATTCCTCTCGTTCGTGAATTCGTTCTCCATGAACTGCAGCGCGAAAGGTTTTTAATTAAACAAACTACTGACGCGTGGTAAAGCTACCGAAGATATGTGAATCACCAAAAATAATCATAGAAGTGAAATCATCGATATTCAGTAAAAACAAACGCCCAGTTTTGTTACATCTTTCCACAGCCGAAAAGCTATTGAGCAAGCATTGTAAGTGGGCGGTAAGTTATCGCAGATCTATCTGGATTGACATTTATAGCCAACAGGCTCCAACGGTCTCAATTTGGGTTGAACTGATCACTAGATGTTACAGTCGGCCAAATGATAAAAAGTAATACTGAGTTCCCTTCGGGGTAGTCTCCGTCAATCTGTGTTTTGTCATTTTTGTGCGTCATTTGTGCGTTTTTGTCATTCTTCATGCATTGTCTGACACAAGCGATGGAACCTAGCAAGACTGCGAAATTGGGCTTTCGACAGGTTAAAATCTACGGACAGTGAACTAGATGGGAGCATGTTGTGTTGAGTACTTATTTGCTAATTATGGTGACGTTAGGGAGGGACGCAAGTGAGAACCCCTAGTTCGTAGTAATCCTATGTTGAGTTTCCTGCATACGTGCCGCCACTGATTTTGACAGGACCAATATTCGAAACAGCAGGGTGTCTTTGTCGATGAATACCGTTAAGGACAGATGCAGCTGAGTTATATTTGAGGATCATGCTTTTATGTTTTGGACTCAGTGTGTGCTCAATTTGATGCTCATTTATTCAAAAGAAATGATGAGCAAACTAAAGCCATATGCTAAGTCCAAAATAACAACAATAGTGATGGGCTGATCAAAAAATTCCGTCAAACTCATAAGTCGTGCCACATAGATACCGCCAAATCGCTTAGTCTAGACAGGACGGGCATATGACATTCAGATGTTGATATAAGTAGCCACAGAATAGTTCGTCGGATCTACCGGTGTGTCATTGTACTAACACCCTTGTTTTATCGCTTTGGTAAACATATCAGATGTTGCAAGTAGGACGACGATGCAAATGGCACCTGGTGATGTAGACCATGATCAAAGAAACCACCTGAACGTTTCTTTTCATTCGCATCAAGGTAACCTCGCACTGAGGACAGGAAAGCAACGAGCTATTCAGTAACGGACATTCTTTCACAGGATAAAGGTTATGAACATAGCTCAAAAAATACGGAATAAATAGACCCCTGTACTTTACGAGAAATTATCAGTCCAATCGTGGTCCAGAAATGGAACAGTGATTTATCCCATATCTACAAAAGCAAAGAAGGTGAGACACACTGGGTCTCCTTATGAATCCCAACAGCGATCAAAAAGGAAAATAATTCAACTGTAATGACACCACCTGGAATAAGTTTTTAGGTCACATTTTGTCTTAGGTGAGCGAAAATTTTGAAACAACACCATGTCAGACCTAACCCATATACTGGAAGAGGCCAGAGTGTCTTTGATTTTGTCCTGTTACGTGTGAACCAGGACACGACAAGTACTCCGGGCCGCGATTTCAAATTTTTGGTATCGACTTATACGCTCATTAGTTTGCCGCTTATGTGGGACGTGCTGACGTTGAATAGCATGTAAAAAATCTTACCAGTGCGCAAAAATATGTGACATTTCACATTTTGAATGAAAGCAGTGCGGTAGCAGTGTTGGCAGTAACATCAGTGGTAAGGCGTAAACCAGCCAATACGCCCATAGAGTTCAGTAACTGTTCGTCACCAAAATTTAGAGTGTTTCTATCTGAAAACTCATCCACTTTGAATAGACAGTGGCACTACGAATGCTACCGGTATGCAGCAAAGCTGATCTTAACAGAAGTTCCGTCCAATCACAACAGACAAGCGGGGAAATAAAGATATGCATCGTCCTCCAGCACATCTGGATCAATTTCGCGCATAAGGGGTCGTTTAATTTAGTGTAATCCTTATTGGCAGTGCGGTAGTGTGACGTTTTTCCTGATGTGGGAACACGTGCTCTCGTGAAGGATTAAACCGATGATTTTTTAATAAAATTTAGACATTTCCTTATTCTGTCCAATACCTCGTTGAACCATGTGACTGACACATGGAACAGCCATCATCAGTTAATCCGTGGCCAATTTATGGTTCAGAAAAGGGTGTTCATATAAGTAAGTCGGGGTCAATTTCGTTTCTTTGCTGTGTACTGCACCCGGTAGTCACCAGATTGATGACGTTTCATGTAGAATAGTCTGACTACTCATGAGTAGCCAGACCGTCAGAGAAAATTAACAGCCAGTCAAACGAGAAGCCGTACAAGTCGGGTCGTTCCGACAGAACTTCTCGATGTTTTGATGGTTCTTCAGAAAGTAGGATTACGTGTCTATTACTCAGTGGGCTAAATTCAATTGAGATATATTTTTTGCTGCATTTCTTCCGTAAACGTTTCAAAACGTACAAGCCCGAGAAGAATTTTGTTGAAAGAACTCGATATTTGGAGAAATTATCCATTGGCATATCACAAATCTAAATTTCTCCTGCTCATTCACGCACAAACCTTTTCTGTTGCCTCTAAAACCACTGCAAGATGTCCGGCACGACTTTCTTGCTCAGCCTGTGCACGTCTGAGTGTGGCAGTCTCCTCCTCGATTAGCATCTTCTTTTGCTCTGAATGTGCGTGCATCAGAGCCTCCGTTAAGGCTCGTTCTTGATTGAGCACATCAGTCCATTGGTCGACCTGTTGTTTTGACAGGGTATTGATAACCACACGCTGCATATGTTCGCAGGTCTGAAATAGATACACATAGTCCTTACATACTCGCTAAATGTTTGCCAGGCGAGAATAAGTGTGAGAATCTATGCAACCAGTAGAAGCAATTCTTTCGGTTGATTGTCACCTTGAGTTACAACAATACAGTTACCAGATAATTCTGTTTGTTTTTCTATTTATTCTTCCGGTATCAGATATCACCTGCTAACCGCAGCTCATAGAGATGGCTGATGGTGGCTGATGGTGTCCACATGCAGTAATTTCTGAACATTTAAGTAGGGAATGTCACATGACAGTTCACCACAAACCGATGCCTACTATTTGTTTTCTTCTGAACTTTACAAGTTTTATGTTCAAGAGCACTTTCAGAGACGAATATTTATCCAGAGAATACCATTGAAGAACACCTAACCAACATCGACGAACTTCAGACGTGTTTGAAAGAACTTGTTCACTGCATTCTCATCTGAGATTTCGTCCGGTGAGTGAACACAGTCTGTGCCGAAAACCCGAAAGTACCGTTTGACCGTTTTGTCTTTAATGGGAATCATCGGCAGTGCGCATCCCACGGAAGTTCAGAGAGTTTCAAATTTGCAATCCAGTGGTTGGTAACTGAACACACAACTGTTCGGCCAAGAGGAGCCGGTTAGCTTGCAATTGGGCAGGATATAGTGCCGGTCAGTGACCAAATATCGACTTCTCAGGAGGAAGCATCAGGCATCTTGTGGAAGTATTCTTCATCTGAGCTACTTATAGACTGTTGGTAGTTCAAAAAGCTTAGTGAATTTCTAGCTGGGATCATAACAAGCGGTGCTCTGAGGGAGTTTGATATCATTTAATTTATTACCAATCTTAGTTATTCATTAGTTGAGTAAATAGTTTTCAGGAATTTTGTTTGTTTCAGTGTACCATATCCAAAACGAGGTTTTCTACAGCACTAAACACTGTAGATGCCTACTGATCGTCCGGAAAAAGTGAAAACTTGCACTTGCCACTTAGAAAATTACCAGTAAACACCTACGGAGGGAAAACTGTTACATATAATTAGTAAACGTACATCCAGAGCTGAATGTATGCTGTGCACGGATCTGGAATGACGCAAGTCCTGTCGAAGCAGCAAACGCCCCTGAACAGATTTTGGAAGAAGCCGCTTAGAACTTGAAGTACTGTCTGCCGTGTGAGAATTATCCTGATCACATTGTGCTGGAATGCTCTGTGAAGATTGGGCTCTCACTTCTACTCCATTGGTTCCTGTCCCCATGGAAGAGTAAAGTGAGATTGGTCGATAAATTTGAGTGCTTGAAAGGCTGGAATTGTCTTGTCTGAACGCTTCATCTTCTGGCTTTGGGTAGAGTCTGTCAATCAGTGTGGCTTCAGCGGACATGGGTCGGGTAGTTTGTGAAGTATCCTTGTCACCGCTGGCACTTATTGTCCGTTCAATCAGTTTTTGTTCCTTTGGCTTCACTGCATACAGCACTTGAGATACCTGCTTTTGGCCCTTTGCTGTTGTCCGCGCAAGCCGGCAGGCAGTTTGTCGTTCTATTTCTTGGCTGGCGGCCAGGCGTTTAAGAGAATCCTGCGATGTGCGTTGTCGTGCATTGAGCTCACGGGTCTGCTCTTCTAACAGCAATTTACGATGAATGTCGAAGTATCCCTTGACTTGGCAAACCTTGATTTGTCCCAGTGAGGACAAACGACGCTGTTTAAAGTCAGCCATAGCCTCTGTGTATTCTGGGGAGAACATAAACATGACAAATCGGTTGGTTATGTGTTGATGATGTACATGCTCCTACTTGTGCAAGCAAATCAGAAATAGAATGTTAAAGGATTCATAAATAAATAAATAAATAGCGGTGATGAAAACAAGCGGACTGAATGTGTTTGTCAAGATGAATGAGATGACACCGTAAACACTCCTGTACTCTGTCGTTATTTTACAGAATCGGCGAGTGCATCGTGAGAATTCGAAATGTTGTCGATGAATTTCATCGTATCGCTTCACGCACATTTTCCAATGTCTAGTTCGCATTCCTTTATGGGGGAGGGGTGTTATTCCCTGTAGCAAATGGCGGGTTTTTGTAACAAATTTCTGAGTGCAATTCCTCGAAAGCGAACGGTGTACAGGTCTAAGTTCAGCACTCCTTGTTTTGCAACAATCAAGCAAACTATTTATAAGAAATTGGTGTTTCTGTGAACGTAATGAATGAAAGTCCGCTTATCCATAACCACCACGGTTTGAGGAACAGCCATCTGTTATCAGTCCAAGCGTTGCCGCAGACTTAGTTTAAAAATGGAAACATTGGACACGGAAGGTGTCTGCCATAAGATGGTGTACGAATTAAGAACTGCATGTTTGTACACTTAAGTGTCTGGTTTCATTGTAAAAGTAAATCTACAGCTGTTCTCCTATGTCTTACGCACCATTCATAATACCACGTGCCTGGCGTACTACGGTCAAATTACTTTTTTGAAGGCTGCTTTGGTGTCAAATCTAACTGTCATGGGATCACTTCTAAAGAGCCACGTGAGCAGTTCCGGAGGGTAACAGAAGTCAGGAGAACTCACCGTACCACACACTGACGCAACTACCCAAATCCTATTGCTGAGATTAGCGAAAAGATCGACAGTCCAGGACATAAAGGTTTCAGAATTATCCGGTTGAAAATGAAAAATATGTCAAGTTAAAGTAATCAGGGTAGGAAGTACAGTGGATCTGATACTATGTTTGAGATGTTTGAGATGTGATCTTCCAGAATTAAGACCCTCGGGGGTTGGTGTCTGTGTAGACTGGACCGGTTTATGCGGGAAAACAGTTTTATGCGTAATTTTTATTCTACTTGCTGACAGCTTGTGATTTTAAATGTGGCAGGGAAATCACGAAAATTTCGAATGGCTTTAGACATCCATGACTCAAAATCAACTTTGTGCCACCCAAGCGATACTTGGTTTCCGTGTTCAGACGACAATGGATCACTTCATGGGATTTAAGGCAAACATAGACCCATCACTAATTGAGACAAGTGAACAGCCGTCGGAAGGAAAAAGCAGTTCGGTTCGCCGATTGTTCCAATCCACCAAATGGTGTTGCGTATAGCCCAGCTGCATTGAAAACGTGTAAAACGAGACAAATCAACATGGTATCTGCAATGTTAAGAAGAAGCAAATTTGACAACCTGTGGTTCATAATAAAGTGTATCCATTTGACTCATTCTTCGGTTCACAACTTGTATTTTGAAAAGGCAGTCAACATGAATCTGGTTGCTTTGTTCATCAACTGGACGAGCGCTTCTAAACACAGTTTGTATTCCCGGGTAGAATTGCCTTACTCAATGCAAGGGCGTTCAGTTCTCTGTTAAGAAGACTCGTACAGAGGGCGTAAGCCGAGTCACTTGGATAGTTTTTTATGTCCCAATAGCCGCGGTCGATTTCAAGGTATCCGGTTGGGTAACTCGAGTGCTGTGGTTTCCGGGTACGTCACCTGGAAGCTTGTGTGACAATAACACATGTATAGCCTTTGCGGTTGTTTTGACCTGTTTCGATCATCTGTGGTAAAATCCCCTCGACTCCGTCCTACAGTGACCCATGCAGACTTGAGGTGTCCTCTACCGTAATTTCGTAAGTAGTGGAAGTCTTATTTGGAAGTTCAATGCACAAGGCTATATATATA